CAACGGGGGGGGGTAATCTGCTGTAAGAGGCATTAGCTAATCAATGAACCTATTACATTTAAAGCTATCAAAATATATCAAATATTAAGGAAAAGAAAACATGTTTAAACATAATCCCAGTTGCACATTAAGCTTAAACTGCTTTTATCATATTAGGAAAGGATAAGACCTAAACACATTAAACTAAAAAACTAACACAAACTACTTCAAGTCTACATCAAACATGACTCAAATAGGGTGTGCCTCTATGGACTTATCAAACTCAGAAGCCAGAATAGGGAACATGAAAAGTACAAATGACAGCAGAAACAAAGATAACAACCTAACTAGGCCAATCCAGAAGTGACACGCGGCACCTCCAACCCTGCTCGCATTTAATGAACAAAGTAACGCACAACAAGCTTGGGCTGCAGAAAGAGAAGGCTCTGGTCCTCCATTACATCCATCATGTGAGCTCCACATGATCAAAAGGGCATTTCCTGATTTGAGAACGACACGTCGGGTGCTTTCTCACTTACTTTATTGGCTCCAAACTGCACTCTGGCTTTTCCTTTGACTAAAGTGGCATTGATCTGCATGATGACAGACTCAATGGAATAGGCACTGCTCCAACCCTGCAATAGGAACATCACAGAGTAACAAATGTAAAACAGATACAAATATAATCCAAAGTTTCAATCTTATATTATTCAGTTCAAATTGACATCCATTTGCACTTGACATACCTGTTTGGTGAGAAGCTCCATGCACAGGGCACCTCCTCCAAGAACATACCTGAAAAAAGGAAAAAGGACACTTTGAAACAGTTTGTTCATAATGGCTAACGGGCTCTGTTTCAAAGTTGTTCTGGACCTCCAAAATCCAGGTTCTTTCCAGGCCAACAACCAGGCAGAGTTAAATTGTAATACACGTTTCAAAATGATGCCGAAGTAACAACATACTGAGACCGGTTAGTAAAAACCATGAATTAATGCTTTGACAAGTCTGCAGACAGACGGAAGGCGAAACACAAACTGTATGTTTTCTGAATGGAGATGGGCTAAGCTAACGCAGTATACGCTCCGACCGTCCACACTCACAACAACGGCCGACAGACATAAATAAACCAGCGTCTGTATTCGCCATGACACAGACTCTGTGGTTTGTACTTGTTTAACTTTTGTCTAGTTTCTGAACAGATATGAGGAGCTGTGAGCTCTGAGGGCTTGTTTTTTTTGTGGTTCGTATTGAAGATGACGTCACTGCGTTACTATAGTTACTGCCCCAGCTACTAAACTGTAATGGAAACGCAGCATAAAGTGAGTCTGTCCTAACAAGGCCTAACGAGGCCTAGTTATACCGAGCGAGGCCCTGTAGTGGAAATGTGCCATTAGTCAACCCCAAATAAGAAAATAATCAATTGGGATGGAAAGAGTGAGTATCAGCTAAAAGAACTCACCCTCCGGACAGCACAGGCGAGACCACTCGGACAAACGGTGGGTCAAAAGGGAAGTTATCCTGTAAAAATGACCAGCAAAGACAGTAAATGAACAGACTTCAAAGACTACAAAATGGTGTTTCACTTTAATGAATGCAGAGTCAAATGTACTCACTTTATATGAGAAGTTCAGTAAAATGTAATCCATTCCTTCCTTTTCCTTTAGGACTTGTAAATCACTGTGTAAGGGGCTATCTGGATCCACTCTGTTGGTCATTAAATTATGCAATTAGTCCATTTTTATTTATTACGACATGAAGGAAAATAAAAAATGAGAGCAGGTCCCGATTACTTACGTCCTTAGTTTGACGTGCCATTCATACAGGCTGTCGTTAACAAGCTCCACTGAATAGATGCCTGAAAAACACATAACATTGTTCAAAAGGAAAAGTATTTTAAATCTTCTTTAATAACCCAATATACCTATAGCCAGAGATGGCCGCACGTAACAGTAGGTTACAAAAAGCATTAGGCACCTTTAGAGTTTTGCATAACTAAACTTAAACATGACGGTTTATTTACTGCAATTAAGGATTGGGAACCAAACTCACTAGTTAGTGGAGAGACCCAAACGAACATGTCCGTACTACCGAATTACATTAAATTCATCTTTGGGCATATGATGCGATGCAGAGAGAGTGATTCAGCAAGCTGGCGAGCGGATAGAGTGATTATTAAAAACTCAACACAGACAAGGTACGCTGCAGAATTTGTAATGTGAAATGCAAAGCTGTCCAGGGCAACGTGTCTTGGATGTGCTTCCCCTGAGACACTATGGTGTGTGTGTCAGTCACGCTCTGCCCTGGAAACAGACTGGATGTCTTAGGGAAGGCTGGGGGAAGGGAGATGGAGGTAAGGACATTCATTTTTCTTTTTGTGTGGGGTGTAAAATTAAGTTTAAGTCAAATGAATTACACGTTTGTCATAACAGAGAGTGAAGTATTTAAAATAGGTACCGGTATACAAATACAAGGTACTAAAACTGCTTCAAATGTTAATGGTACCCAACCCTAATTGCAACGCTTGATGGTAAACACCACTGGTCAATCACACAAAGTGGATAACATCGATGAGCATTGTGTAAAAGGGTTTGTATATCTTTGCAAGTTTCCAGCGAGTCAATATTATTTCCCCTCAGATCTGCACCAAAGCACATTGAACCTTGTCTAAGAGCATACCTGTCTTGTAACTCTGAGACCTGTAGATCTCTCTGAGCTCCTTCATCAGACGGTCAGACGCTTGCACAGATCCAGACACCGCTCCCTGCGAAGGTCAAAACAACAATTCTTAAGAAGAAAGACAAAAAAACACATTTCTTTGCAAGTCACTGTGAGGCCTGTTATCTGTTAGGATATATGACACATGATGTTACCAACCGTAGGACCTTCACAGAAATGTGTACGTTCCTGAATAAAGACTTACGTTTAAGTGGTCCTGCCTCTGGTTCTTTCGGATCTTCTCCAGGATGGCCAGATTCTCCTTCTCGATGCCATCGTCCTCAGATTTCTTCCCATCCACAGGCTCCTCCTCTTTCATCTCATAGTGGTCCAGATCCTCTATGTCCTGTTGGTTCATATTTGATATTTTAGACGTTTTAAAGCAAAACATGCAACGATAGCTTAGGGATCAAAGCCAGTGCCAAGTCAGGAAATAAATAAATATCAAGGAAAACTAGGTTATAATCCGGCACCACTTCACAATAAGACTACCCTTATAAAGGATTCATAAAGGGTTTATAATTAGGTTATTAATTAGGTTGTAAACACTTTATTAATCATTAAGAACCATTTATAAACCAGTTTTATCATAGTTTTCATACGTCAACACAGGCTCACTATTTGGCAAAACTGCAACGTGCGTTGAAGCTTCAACGCTTCTGCCCATTCACTTTGAATGGGGTGATGTCAAGCTTTGCCGAACTGCATTGTGGGAGCGTCGCTTCGCGTTGCTCGCTTCAAAAGTTGAGTAATGTTCAACTTTTGAAGCTTCGACAGAAGCGTCAGCCAATCAAATCATAGGCCAGTACAAGCTCTAGCCAATCAAACCGCGTGCTTGTGTGTCCGGGGCGGGAGATTCATGCGATTGGTTGTTGGTCGAGTTGCAGACACGTCCGCCGGCAAGCTTCAACGTACGCCGCTGTGTGGACGCTGCGTTATAGTGGCTACTTAGCGAGAATCAACTCGGTGAACAACAGATACCAAGGATGCTGGCTGATGAAGAACACGAAGTAAGCTAGGTAGCCAATATAAGACTTAGTCATCTTACCGTCCAGGTATATTAACGGCCGCCCAAGTATATTTCGCTACCCATTTAGTTTTTTTTTTTTTCCGTCTGCGACCATGACGCCATCTGCGATAGATTAACTTGTGGACAATGATCCCTTGCTCTACGCCTCCTGTACCCAGTCCCCATCGGGAGGACCGGGGGTTTCCCGATGGCCTGGCCTGTTAAGTGGCCTGCCTCACACAGGGTGACTGGCTGTCCACATGATGTGGCCTGCCGACATGGCCACTGTCATACAGATCATAAATCAAAGCCCTTGATTGGTCTCTGTGTGTCATTCAAGCTCGGGATAACCTCAGTTCATGTGAGGTAAAGGACTCTGAGTGTTTAGATAGTTAACTTATTCTAAGTTCTCAGTGGGTCTCCAACGGTTTGGTCACCATTTATGTAAACACATATTTCCATTTGAGGGTGTCAGTGTTTTTTCATATTGGAAATGGGATGTTATTGGTTATGGCCCTGATTTTATGATTATTGAAATGTATACAGTTCTGTTTCATATAGGTGTTCCCATAGATCTAGTCTCTTTATTTTCCCCTCAAAATGCACCAGATTGATGCATTTAACGCCAACATTTAAAAAAAAAATCTTACCTGGGGAGCATGCCCCAGGACCCCCCCCTAGAGAATTTGAGGTCCACCCCCACTTAAAATCACATTGATAGGTTCCTAAATACATTTACCATTTAAAAAAAAAAATAGTAACCCATGTCCATAGGTTTATTTGTGGGTAGTAGATTTAAACTATAGGGCTATCACTATGTCTGCTAACAAGCGACCAACAGAAAGGTTCATGTTAATGTTGTTGCACGTCACCTTAACCCCCCCCTGCTACAACCCCCCCCTCAAGTATATTTCAAATCTGTGGGAAACACTGTACCTATAATCCAATCAAATGTAAAGACAATAATCATGTGAATATATTGGGAAGGGTTAGAACAGACATACCAGTCATAATATATTCAAACACTGGCCTTTGTATTTACATATACCATACGAGCATGCAATACTGGCAGACTAACATTCCTCTTGGGTAAGATGCGAGGGAAATAATATATTTTATTACAGGGCATCAAGCCGTAAACACAACTTACCTCTCCCATCTCTTCTTCCTCTTCTTCTTCAGATGTGACCTCTTCTGTCCCATGCTATACAAACACACAAACAAATAATTGAGTCAAGTTGTATAAAGTCCCCCGACAGAGACTCCCACATCTGATTGTTTATTTTTCATAAAACCACATTGTACTGACCCATAACAACAGGAAGAGCATATTGATCAACTTAGAGAATAACTTCATATAATGCACCAAGGCCCTCTGTAGTGCAGGCTGCTATTGTAATACTCAGCAAAAGTGGTTCCGAAGTGCATAATAAGACATCCTTAGTTGAATATTGATTCCTTATTTCTTAAAAGTAATAAAACACTGGCCATGTCCTGGTCGTGTAACGGGGACGTATTTCACAGGAGTAAACTATGCAGCATTGCCTTTCGGTCTGGAGCCACGGGCCCCGCAGGCAGGGGCTGGTCCAGCATCTCCACATCTGGATGTTGGGGAAGGTTGTACAGCCGACAGAGGTCACATATGAGTTTCTTCAACTGCTGCAAAAGCTGGGGGAGAGAAACCACAAAAGACGAGGGGATGCAGAGTTAGATAAACGGGTTAAGATGGCAGATGCAGCTACATCTGCCACGTGGCAGAAAAACTATTGCCGGCATGGTTAAACCGTACACCCCAGCACGTGCACTCCGCTCTGCATCAGCCAAGCGGCTCGCTGCTCCCGCACTGCGAGGGGGACCCAAGTTCCCATCAGCAAAAACACATGGGTTTGCTATCCTGGCTCCAAAATGGTGGAATGAGCTCCCCATTGAAATCAGGACAGCAGAAAGCTTACACATCTTCCGGCGCAGACTAAAAACTCATCTCTTTCGACTCCACTTCGAGCGATAGAATTATTAACAAAGCACTTGTATACTAATACAGGACTGCTTATCTAAAGCCAGTTGAGTAGCACTTGAAATGTTTTAGCTCTATAAAACCTGATGTACTTATATGATTCTGTTTTCTTCTAGTTTGTATCTTCTTGGTCGAATGTACTTATTGTAAGTCTTTTTGGATAAAAGCGTCAGCTAAATGAAATGTAGTGTAATGTAATGAACCATGATGGATTACCAAGTCAATTGTATTTGTACTAGTGCATGCTCAAAATGTGCACATTCAAAATGGGCTGATTGCTTGGACGTTGATTTTCCTGCTGGAAGATTTTCAAGAATCGATCATACACAAAACTCAACACTTGTATCTTAAACAATATGTTCACCCCCATAGAATGCTAGAGTACCAGAGTAATCCTTTGGAGGCCGAAGCTGATATGAACAACAGATAAGTCCAATAGTGTGACATAATATTGTAGTGAGAGATAGAAGAGCAAACTGTAGACAGCATGCCATTTGTCAGTTTAAGGCCTGAACATATTTTTAAAACCATGTAGTTGCAAAAAAGGATTTATTTCTGAGTGCATATACTACCAAAGCTCCAATCAGAAGCAGAATATGCAAGGCAGCTACATGCACATTTAATACATAAGTTCCATAGATCTCAAGAGTTAACACTCGACACTGCACTTCCTGCCTCCTCAGCAAAACACCATCCAAGTGTGAATTCATAGACATGTTGATCTCACAGGTTGTCCCAATGATCTAATGACTGAGCCATTTGATCTGCTGAGTCCCTGCCAGTTCGTATTTAGTTGTACATTATCCACCCATTACCCAGATACAAAGTCACAAACTTTTATGCATCACATGCAAGTTGTTTTTTATGCTTGAACACCCAATACAAAAAGGGATAATCCTTCTAGGTTTGTAAACCTTGTAAATATAACAATACAACTCAACCAGCATCAGTAAATTCTCCTTAACTAATTAAATGTAGCACACATCTTCAAGAATGATGCATAAAATGTTAATAAGTAGTACTAAAACGTTTTGAAATGTAGTCGAGAATATACATTTAAAATCCAACACTAATGTAATGTAGTGTTTAACAAATCTAAAAGATACCAAAGTTCAGAATAAAGCTGGCTTATTTAACACAACAATTGTCTGCCTCCTATCTATGGAGCTTAACACAGCAGGGTGGCATTATGTCACAATAATGCAAGGAGAATTCTCCTGCTGAGCGGCAGCCTGGTCAATACTCAGCCAAGCACTTTGGTTAAGTCAAATAAAGTGTAGTCTTTTCATTATGCAATATAACACAGACATGCTATGACGGTATTATGGTAGCAGCTACATCAACTTTGTTTTAATACAATCATAATCTTTTAAGTCAGCTGTGGTAAAGACTCTGCTCAATTCTCTTTGTTAACTTGAATGGATCACAAGATAAAGAAAGACACATTTATACTGCTTTGTTGAAGATGCAAAAGTGATTGTGAGGCAAATGAGGGTAGTTAAACCAAATCCCAAGGTTGCAGTTCATGTTTACTGCAGTGTAATGAAAATAGGTTATAAAACAGTTAAATAATGCTAATTTTATTATTGTATAAATAAATAAAAATATAATATTATTGTATAACAATTACTTATTTAAGAATATCATGCTCATTGAGACAACTAAGGAAAATAAGGGTTAGTGAATAGTGTTTATTATCACTAATTGTTAGTGATAGTGAAAGTAGAGTAATTTAAACATGTTGCAACCGTCCCTGAGGTGTGTAGCAACTGTCCCTAGGGTGGGGTTCGTTGCAACATCTGACTTTTTTATAAACGTATATTGTGAGCAATCTATCATATATATTAATATTTAAATGGTAGCATATATATGCAAGTTTAATATATAAATAATGTGTTGGTCTGGACCGAATAGTCTCCGAGTATCTCAGATAGATGCAAAAAGGGGTTGCAACTGTCCCTAGTCTCTACTATTGTATGTTTATTGATAAATGTTCACACAAAACCTAAATGTTCTGGCAATATTAAGTTATTTTGTCAGGAGATCCTCATAAATGGTACATACATTGTTGACTGACACAGTGAAAAAAAGAATTAAAAATAACTACCAGGGTGCTGCCTTTTCTCACATCTTCCAACCTCTCCAAAACTTGCGCCAAGCTCGGGTCGTCAGAGTCCACGAACCATATTGGCGGCGTAGATGGATAAGATTCCTAAAGACATGGGACACAGCAAAGAGAGACAGTTACATCAATAAATGTGAATTATATACACTAGCAGAGGTGGAAGAAGTACTTTTATCTTGTACTTAAGTAAAAGTAGAAATAACAGTGTAGGAATACTCGGTTAAAAGTATAAGTCCTGCCTTACAAATGTTACATAAGTAAAAGTATAAAGCTATTAGCATCAAAATATACTTAAAGTGCCCAAAGTAATAGTACTAATTATGCAGGTTGGCCAATTTTCTAATAATATACATCATGTTTGATTATGATTATTGATCCATTAATGTGTTTAATTCATAGGTTTAATTACTTTGCAAACAGCAGGGTAGCTTATGCATGTTTATTTTATTATATTTCCTTCAATTTATCTAAAATCTAAGTAACTAAAGGTATTAAATACATGTAGTTTGTGTAACCTGTGAATTGTAGTGAGGTAGAAGTACAAAGTAGCAATTACAATTTAATTACCCAAGTAAAGTACGAGTATCTCAAAATGGTACTTAGTAACAGTACTTGAGGACATGTACTTAGTTACTCTACACCCCCGTGTTAATTAGCATGACCTAGTGCTAAACATAGAAATCATTAAATAACGTAACATTTGAAGTGGCGACATTAGCATTCAGAGTGCGGCGTTAGCTAACAGCTAGGGGCTTAGCAGCACTGTAAAATGTTGGATTGTCAGAACAACAAACCCCCCCTCCCCCCCATTAATACTGCGTAGCTACCATTGACACTGGCTTATGAAACTACGCAAAACATGTCCCGCATAGCATCAAATTGCACAGTCCTGATGGTAGACTGCTACCTGGTTAGCTCGTTAACCAGCTAACTTCAGCTAGCTAACAACCCAACAAGGGAAGTGTATAAATCCCCTTACCGTTATATTACAGTGGATTATTAACAGTTTTTCCCCAGTCACATTAAACTGGCAGCTCAGCTCATCAGGCTTCCAGTCAATGATCCTGAAACGTTCGTGATTTGGATCAAAAATGGACTCCAAAAACTTCAGTTCGGCCTTCAGCCCCGACACCGACATCTTCCACGCATCTCCGGCCGGGCCGCTGGGGAGGGGGAGAAGTCGGGACTTAGCTCTTTTTTTAGCTAGCTAAAGCCACAACACAAATGTCAGTAGAAATGGGTTTTTTAAATGTGGGCAAGGAATGGCTGTCTGCCTTGGTTGATGTAGCTTGATACCCAGTACCAGCTACGAGCAACGCCCGGTTTAAATGTCAGCGCAAACGGATAGATTTGCAGATTAAGTTAGCTCACGTTAGCTAGCTTTCAGTTAGCGTTTGAAAACAGCGCAGCGGTTGGCAAGATGCTAGCGGGCGAGCTAGCGAGCTAGTCCGTTGTTGTTGTCTTTCCGTCTATTGTTGTTGTCTGTCTGTGATAACAACACTTTAAGGGCTCTCACTGTATCCTGTGACCTTCTCCTTCACAGTCCCATCGAGCAGATCTTTATAGATGACTCAACCGGGGAAAGATCACACCATGTCCACGATCTGAACTTATATCCCGCTGTAGAGGGATAGTGTTTTTCATCCCGGTGTACAACTGTAGCTGGCCTCTTGTGGGGTTTAAAGATGGCGTTGTGCAACCTCCCCGTTCCCGCAGAATCCCAGCATACAGCGCGTCAACACATTATTTCAAGGTAAGAAAATAAAGCAAAGTTTACAACAGTGGATCAAATAGATGGACAATTTAGCGAAGTGATTTTGTTTTTTGTTAGGGAAAATTCCAATTTTCAATTGCCTGCATCAGATTTTACATAACCGAATTAAACTGATCCATTATATTTAGGCCTAATTTACCCTGGAAATTATATCTGATGCAGTGTTTATCAAAAGTTGGTCTCACTTGATATTGTGACTCAGCAGTCATTCTTTAAAATGATCAGAAAATAATTAGTTGTACAATTAATTAGAAATTGTTACAGAAATGTGCATAGACCGTGCTTGTCAATGGATTATAGGCTTTGTTTGACTATTTCTATTTAGGCTAGGCTACATCAGTATTGTCTACATATCATTTGAAGTATAATTTTCAGTTTAGCATATTAATCCTATAATTCAAACTCATTATACATTAATTGTTAAATATCTTATAAACAAGACACATATCTGTAACATATTGTTTACTACAGGTTTCCTGCACAGGTTAACATAAAGAATAATGCATGTAACAGTGACTATAGGTTACAGATTAATACATAACAAATGTGTTTATGCATAGATGTTACATTCCCCAAGTAGCCAAGATGATGAGAGAAGTAACAATTAACAATAATGGACATGAACGATGAAAATAATGATCATATCAAAGTTAGCCCGCTACGTCACAAAAATAGTCTTTCTAGGAACAAAAGCAAATGTGATATCCCCGTCCAAAATTATTTCATTAGTAAGTCTGTGTGAGCCCAGCCCTCTGATTTTTAAAGAAGTAGGCTAATGAATGCATGTTCACTTTTAGAATCAGGATTGTGTGATCTTGGGTTTTGCCTAACATGGATTTATCCCCAATCATAAAATATGTTTGTTAAATGTTAATTCCTCATGAGTACAGAATATGGCCTTGTAAATATTGACCCTAAAGAATTCAATGGCTGTTCAGCCCACATATAATTTCCTTACTGCCTTATGCATACTGGGTTGTAAAAGGAAAAAAAGAGAAACATAACAAGCCATAGTTCACACATGCCTTCTGTCCTTCTCCCTAAAAATAAATAAAAGTGCAGGGTTTTACCAAATCATGTGTGTAGTAGTACCTGGCGCCCACTAGGAGGAAGTGGTGGCTCAAGGTCTGAACAACTGGTTTAGGTTTAGAGATGAATAAGCTTATGAAAACATACTTTCCTTGATACGGCTCTTTACTCACTGGTGACTAGGATTCAGGCTTCATATGCCTACATTTCCCTTTTGTTTATATGTTTCTGTTACAATTTTTACATTATTTTGACAAACAACAAAGGACAAAAGTCTTTTGACAATGTCATTGTTTGTTGGGATCCTTCTCTTAGATTGCTATCTCTTATTCAAATTTGGAAATGCTTTGACTTTGAGTTTAAGATTTCATATTTAAAACTAGGCATGGCAAAGATTCTTAAGGAAGCCGGTATGTTTGAGTCCTGAAATTAATTAAACCGATTGTGTGGGTTTCAGAGAGAACACCAAACCTTAAAAGCACATTTTAAAAGCCTTTCCCTTTGTGAGTCTGTTATCAGGAGAGATTTGCTGTGCTGTCGCCTCTTATTATGCTATCACAGGGTCTCCCTTTCGACAGTGTTAACTTCTCTTTTATTTGGCCTTCCCCAGAATAGTATTCTGCGATAGACAGTTGAGGACAAAGGCAACTCTCATGAAGATTACTGGAAGAAATGTAGTGCTTAGTGTCTGTTTTATTCTTAAATCATACTTCTTACATTCAGTGGATTGAGCCGAGGAATGCAAATGTACAAGCTATAGCAGTGTGATGAATGCTGCTTTCAGTTTTTGATATGTGTTTCAGTTTGAGGTCTCCATATTGAGGAACAACATATTGATTTGTCATTTGAAAGGCTCATAAACTAAAAGTGTGGGTAGGAGTGGATGGCTTGCTTATCAAAACTTGTGCAGGTCGCTGCTGATGTGTATAGACCGAGAGCAGTTTGAGCACTTCCCCTTGACAGCATTGTCGTATGTCTCCACACTAATTGACAAATTCTTCATTTCAGTGTACAATATTGCAACTGTGTGCAATAAACTCCAACACTCTACCTGAACTCACTCACAGAGTGTCAGGGACTTTGTTAATGCAATGGTTCCTCAGGAAAGGTCAAGGTTTCCGGTCTAGCAAACACTGTAATTCATTTTGAAGGGGTTTGGGAAGCAAGAGTGGAGGTGGTGTTGTAAAATCAACAATGATAGGTGTGGCGAACACAAATTGTAAGCCACATATTGTTTGATTATGTTGTATGCCAATGGGTTCCTGACTGAGGGGTTCTAGCTGCCTTTGTGCACTTCTGTACTTGTTTATTGTTTGTGCAATGAATCTGGAGAACTCAGAAATCAGTGTTTTGGCCATAACTATTATCATAATGATCAGTTGGTCACAAAGGTTTAAGTGATTTTTGATGGAAATTATTTTGTTTTCTGTTTTATATATTATTATTATTATTATTATTATATCACAGCCTACTTCTGGATATAAATATATGTTCTACAGAAATAACAAAAAAGACACTTCACTGCATCAGTCACGAGCAGCAGGAGACTTCACAAGAGCTTAAAGTGACGATAGACCACGCTTTGATCAATATTATACAATTGGATTATATGATTAGATCATTAAGTATGAAGAATAAGAAATATCCCTTTTTAAGTGTTTATTTTTATTTGTAACTAATCTTTCACATTCCTATCAAAATTCCCTTAAATATTGCTGACCTGTGTTTCCTACTTTCACTAGCAGGTAGATCAATACGTCTACATCATTAGGGTGTAATTACTCTGCATTGCTTGTAAGGACACTGTGTTGAGGGACTTGTCCTCTACACTGTATTGATGTCATGTTATAGAAGATAGCCGCTGTACAACATCCTGCCAAAATCAATTAACCCTCAATATTAAAGGTGTTGCACCTTAACACAGCCAGTGAGAGGTTGACTTACTGTCAGACGTATTCAGTACACCAGACTATATTCTCTTAAATCAAGTAAAGTAATCAGAGAAATGCGTGAGTACACTATGCATATGTATGATAACATATATTTTTCTGTGTTTTGTATCAATTGCACCAACAGTATTTCAGCCATGCAAACGAAAGGGAGGATACAGTCAATACATATTTAAGGCTGATTGTTTATACATTTTAAGAAGAGCATATATTCAGTGTTGGCACAAAGGCAAGTGTCAGAGGTCAAGGGTCAGCACAAAATCAAACAAATGTCTTAGGTTGAATCCTGATGGTCTTTTCAGTCATGTTTTAGGATTGAGCCTCTGACATGTTTGTCCCAGCGGGCATGTGTATTTTTATATACAGTCTATGGTATGCACTAATAAAGAGGCAGATTGCTGGTGTCCTCTGTGATTTATCCTGCTCTTCCGTCCTCCATCTGCACTTGACGAAAAGTTAATTAAAACCCTGCCTTGTCTCTTCATTCCATCCCAGACAGCAAGAGCAAATCATCTCACTCCATTTACAGCCTCTATGATTTCTTTATGAACGACACCATAGCTAAGGTCAACATGGGCAGCATGGAGGCTTTACATGCCTTAAAACTCATTATAAGATGTAAATGCACTTTCCGTCATCCTATTTAGATTCTGACTTACAAATCATTACGTGTGAATAAGAGGTAGGACTTCATTTGACATCAAAATACCCGGGTTTCCCTTTGCTCCAGTCACATAGAATTAACAGTAAACTACAAGTGAAACTGATCCAACTGATCCCTCTTAAGTCAGAAGTGTTTAGATATTTAGCTATGGATAGCCAAAGCCATTTGTCGTCATACTGCTGACCCTCCACATGCAGCAGGGCAGTTTGTCAGAGGAGACTGGGCCAATCTCAACCATTTTTTAAACTTTTTCAAGGAAACAGTAACTGAGACAATGGTTAGCATCCAGGAAACGGAGCCCTTATAGTTGGAGTAGCGTTATGTATCATCCACAATTCTGACAGACATGGTAGTTGGTTAACACACAGCATTTATCTTTAAAATTAAGAACTACATTTTAGTGCTTCTTTGCTCTTAGGTGTTAACTGTATTTCGGTGTCTCAGCTAAGCATGTATGATACAGCAGCAAAGCCTTTCTGAAAAGAGACTCTCCTGTTGGCCTGTTGGCCTCTGAATTCATGCCCTTATGTCTTGTAAAACATATCAAACTCTGCATTAACATTTTTTATTGTAATTTTCAGGCAAGGTTAAGCATAAATGTAGTAAAAAAAAAAACCTGCAAGTTGCTCTTTAAATGTTTAAGCTTTAATCAAGTTGGAAAAGGTCGCTCAGAATATGCTGAAACACGAGCATTGGTTTGAAGGGGGTTTGAAATGGGAGTACGTAATTGTGGCTAAGCTGACATTTTGCCAAAGAATAATAATGTTTACACCACTGTCTTCCAAAACATAATTACATCAACAACAAAAAAAGCACTTGTCAATTTCATGGGTCTTGGATGACTTAAGTGTTTCTTTAATGAGCCCACAGAGGGCAATTACTTTCAGATAGTAATGAATGAAGAGCAAATGTCACCTTGAAGAGCAGTGGCATCGCCAGAAGTGTCTAAACAGTACTTTACTTCATCAGTAAAAAAGTTAAAGCTATGAGTCAGGTTGGAAGTAGACATCTATAGGTCTGACACTTTGTATTCAAAAGCATATTACATTCAAACGTAGGAGGGTAACAGATGCAGCACATTGATGAGTTGTTTTTGATTCAGTTATCAATATTAAGTTTGGAGACAGGGTAATGAAAACACAACAGCTGCAATATGTGCAAGAAGAATGAGAGAAACAGCTTTAACAACATTGACTTTAATAATGTAGCACATCTTATCAATGATGCTGTGTGATGGGTTTATATCTTGAGTTCAGGTTAGTGTGATGTTCATACCTTGCTCTT